AATATTCCACACCTGATTAGTGGGCAACCATTGTCAGCCAATCTTGTAAATGTTTATATATCTTCACATCATATTTTAAATCTGTTTCATCAGTCAGCACTGACTAATAGAGACACTATCTCTGTATCTCTCATGACAATATTTTATCATATTCTAAAAACTTTAAATTACTACAGAGATTGAAAATTTTAGAAATTTTCAAAATTAATGATGCAAGCATTTTATATCTATATGAAAATATCAAGGATGACTTATTTCATCTGTTTAAAGTAAATTTTATTGTCTCCAAGCATATCTAGGATTTAAAATAAAGCATTTTTGAAGATAAATTGAGACAAACATTAAAAGTTGGCATTACAATGTTGTGGACAGCTAAGTGGGGCAGGGCTGTTTTAGGCAGTGAGGCTGAGCTGGACCCCTAGAAGAGAAAGTGCAGAGAATCAGATGCATTGCAACTGTGTGAGAGACATAGGAGGATCCTGTGATGGGCAGACCTCAGGACAAAAGATGAAGGGAATGCACTCATATACTTCCTTTAAGAATAAACAACAGTGGTTGATAGTTTAAATAGGTCCATCATCTTGGGAGAGCCAGGAAGAGCCACTGACCCACCCCCGCCATGAAAAGTTCCTCTTCTCTTCCAAGGCTGCTGCTTTCTGACTTACTTCCCCATTTTATCCTGATTTAATCAATATTACTTGAACAATTATACACAAAATCTTATCATTTGACCATAGTTTTGTCTTACCTTATGCTCACCTTGCAATTTCCCATTTTTTCCACCTTGAACTCAGATAACTTCATGGTTTTGATCTATAAAAGTCTGTCTAAAATGCAAGGTCTTCAGCAACCCACTCAGGCACCTCTCCAACAGAAGCTTTTTTCCCCCAAATAAATATATTCTGCTCCTAACCTCTGTTGTTCCTAGAACTCTATCTTCAATTTTAGAGAACATAAACTCACAAGACAGTTAGAAGATTGAGTTTCTTTTCCCAATATCAAAAGCCCTCATTCCAAGGGGTATATTATTTTCTAATAAGAAAAACAAGAAAAATACCACCATAACAAATTTTTGTAAGGTTCCAATCAAACCTGACTCCGCTAGATTCCAGCCTTCTTACCAGTAGAAGCACTACTGTGCTTAGCAGGGACCTCAGCTCAGCACTGGAGACTGCCACAAACTTATGGAGAACACTAGGCAGGATTTCAAATTAACCAATTGGCTTCCTATGTTTACTAGTGAACCTGCCTCAAGTCTAAGACCCTTGTCTGGAGATGGGCAGGTGATTTATAATAAGTGAAACTTTGAATTACTGGTGCCATTTGAGGCCTATTGTTGCTGGTGATGGCATGAGGCCTTAAAGAACAAGATGAGGCCACAGCAGAGGACACTTGGCTCCAACCTCAATTAGCTAAACAGAGATTCTAGCTGCAGGCTTCTCTTCTGCAACCTGGAGGACAAGAGAGTTCTCCTAAATTAGCATAATTTACTACTTGGAGAAGTCTTTGAACTGACTCCCAAGGTCCTGCTCAGTTCCTGCATGCATTTTCCTCAGTATCCCTCCCTTTGTTTGAATACCAAATAAATATAGACTCCCTTTGTTTGAATACCAGACAAATATAGAGAAGTTTTTTGTTTCAGCCCTCAGAGAATCTCAAACTCTGCTAGAGAGTTTTGACTCCCCTGGAGCCTAAAATCATACCACTTGTCTCTTTTATTTAAGCTTTTACCATCCACTTATTTGAGAGATTGTAGGCCTGATCAGTGGGTGATAATCCACAAGCACAGGAATGGTTATAAGATTGGCCAAGGAATTTTACATGTCCTGGGGACATCCGGAGACACTCAAGAATTTGTATCATGCAATTCAAGACTCTGCCTACTGAGATGCAAGACTGCCTGAAAACTTTAACCACAGATGTTTATTGAGATCTCCCTGTCTAATGTACTTTGCCTCCTCTCCATCCCTATAAAAGAGACACACTTCCTCCAGTTCAGGGCACCTGAACTATATTGCACTCTCTGCCTGAACTTAGGAACAACAAATTCCAGGCCATGTTTCACAGGCTTGATGGCTTTTGCATGTTTTCCCCTTCCCCTGTGTACTATGTATGTTACAATTTCCAGTCTCCACCATTCTATTTTTTATATATTAACTATTAATTATTTTAATATATAGATGAAGTAAGATTATATAGCACATATTAAAATATTATACTACCAACTTCCTTTTCCTCCTCAACTTCAAAATGTTCTGTTTACAATACTAGTTCTCTTTTACAGTAGTAGATATCTTCAAAGAGTACAAATTCTTATCTATTTTGCAACTATTTTATTGAATCTAAAATGACACTGAATAATTGAAAAAAAGTTACTCATGACAGCAAGAATATCCATATCAATTTCATTTTAAATGTTCATTTATATCAAAGTCCTAGCTGCCATTTAAACCTTCCAAATGGATTTTGGTACATTCTGACAAAAGTTCTCTATTTGCAATTTGATCTATCAAAATACAGAATCACAGATCTGGTATACCTCTTTGTGTGCTTAACAAACATGATTTTTTAACTAAACATTATGGATAGATAAAAGAAAAAGTTTGTGTTTTCTATTATTGAATCCTGTACATTCACTTTTTAATCTTTAAAAAAATGAAAACTGTGAAACAAATACATCTTTCTGATCACAGTGGCGTACAAAGTACACTGTGTACTCTTTGAATGTATGGCTGGTATCTTTCTTGTAAAGTTATTTGTGGCCTGAATGACCAAACACAAGAAGGTGTATTTTTCACCAAGCAAATTTCTGTAATGAGGAATTTTATACCTTCATTATGTACTTCTCCAGCACTGAAGCACTTTAGGTAACATTTCATGGAATCTGAGCAAAAGCTGAAGCAATCACATTGGTTCTGCCTTCTGTTAGGTTGTTGACCTTTGATCCCAGAGTAAATATCACAATACTATGTAATCCAGAGCTAGTTTCCTTTTGCCATAGTAGACATTTTCAAGGACTACACATTCTTATCTATTTTGCAACCATTTTTGCAGACACTAAAGTGACACAGAAAGGGAAACAGCCATAATGGGACTTGGGAGACCAAACAGGACATCAGCTAGCCAGTCTTTCTGGTAAGCCATGCAAACCATGCAGGGTTCCAGGGAAAAGAATTGGCCATGCTGGGACTTGGGGGACAAACCAAGAAATGAGTTAGCCAGCAATTCCAATAAGCAGCACAAGCTGAGCAGGTTCTAGTTAAAGAAAAGTGAGCTTCTCCAGAGAATGATCCATGGTGGGGCTTGGGACATGAACCAAGAAATGAACTAGCCAGCAATTCTGAGAAGCTGCACAAGACACACTGGTTCCAGTCAGAGAAAAGTCAGTATCTCCTGAGAATTAGCCATACTGGGACTTGGGGGACCAACCAAGAAATCAACTAGTCAGCCTTTCTAGTAAGCCATGTGAGCACCATGGGTTCTAGCGAGAGAAAATTCAGCATCTTCTGATGCTCTTTCTTGTTGCAACTTGGGGATCAAGAAACAGTGATCCTGTGACTTAGGGGACCATAAAAGAAATCAAATGACTAGACTTTATGCTAAGCCATATGAGCCACTTAGGTTCCAGGGAGAGAAAAGTCAGCATCTCCTGTTGCTCTCTCTTGTTGCAACTTGGGGATCCAACCCAGATATCAGCTAACCAACCTTTTTTGTAAACCACACCAGCCTCCCAGGTCCCAGAGAGAGAAAAGTCAGCATGTTCCAAGAGTCAGCCATGCTAGGACTTGGGGGACCAACCCAGAAGTCAACTACCCAGTCTTTCTGGTAAACTGCATGATCCACATGGGTTCAAGGAGAGAAAAGGCATTGTGACCCATAAGCCTATTGGCATGTGGGCTGAGCATCAGACTGTCCATGTGTCACCCCCTTTCTAGTCTCCTCACCATAAGCAACTAGCTAGTTCAGAGGACAGACTGCGTTTATAACAACTAAGGTACTTAAGTCATGTATTGCTTGTATGTATTGTTTGTATGATTATACAGCAATCCAAGCATCTGTTGGGAGGATGTCAGTATGCAATATAGGAGATATGGGGGATTTCATTCTATCTTGTTTTTCAATATTTTCTCACTGGTTTGCTTTCTTCTGATTAATTGTTTTTGTTTATTAAATATTATAGTTTGATTGGTTTTATTCATTTTGTTTTTGGTTTGATTTTGCTATATCTGATAGAATGGACAAATACTGTCAAGATAACAAGATACATTATGGTAGCTATTTTGTTTTCATCATGTCCTACTATGAAATTCTGTACCAATTTTGATCATTTGGTTCTTTTTGGTACCGGGGATCAAACTCATGACCATGTGCTTGCAAGGCAGGCACTTATGCTGCTGAACTAAATCCCCAGGCTTGGTGCATTGTTTTGATTGGCTTTGTTCTGTTTTGTTTAGTTGGATTTTACTATCTTTAAAATAAAAAAAAAACAAAAATGAAAAACATGTTACTCAAGACAGCAAGAACATCGGTATCAATTTTACATTAAATGTTCATTTGTATCAAAGTTAGTGCTGATATTTAAACTTTTCAAATGGATTTTGGTACATTTTGAAAATGGTTCTCTATTTGCAATTTGATCTATCAAAGTACAAAGTCATAGTTCTGGTATACATTTTTGTGTGTTTTAAGAAACATAGTTTGTTTAATAAGCTTATGAATATATAAAAATTAGTGTTCTCTATTATTTAGTCCTGTACATTCAGTTTTTTAATCATTAAAAAAATGAAAAATTTGAAAGGAAAAATATGTTACTGACCACAGTGGTGCACAAAATACCCTATGTACTCTTTGAATGCATGGCTGATACATTTGTTTTAAAGTTATTTATGGTATGAATGAACAAACTTAAGAAGGTATATTTTTCACCAAGGAAATTTCAGTAATCAGACTCTTTACAAGCTTCGTAAGTACAGGGCTACCACTGAAGCACTTTAGCTAACCTTCTGTGGAATCTGAGCAAGGCCTGAAGCGATCGCATTGGCTATGTCTTCTGTCAGGTTCATGACCATTGACCCCAGACTAAATATCACAATGCCGTGTTCTCCAGAGCTCTGCACAAAGTCTTCCAGTTCCTGTGAAGAGAGAATTTGCCTCCATTACAAAAGAGCAACAGCAGCCAGCCCAATCAAAAGAACTCCTAAAAACTTCTGGAGAAAAGAAATCACATAGTGTGGCGAATTAATAGAGTGCTCACTGTTTTAAAATGTAATTTAAGTAAGTATGTAAAGCACGTAATTACATGAGTTCTGTGTGAGTGTGTGTGTGTGTGTGTTTTAGAGACAGGGCTTGCTATGCAGTTAGGCTGGCCTTGAGCTCCTTTTGTAGCCCAGGCTGGCCTTGAACTTGCAATAATATACCTCCCTTAGTTGCTTGAGTGCTTGGATTAAGAAGTACTGGTCCTCACATTGAGCATTGCTTCCTGGCTCCAGAGGGGAAGACATACACTGCTTATTCTCCAGGATGAACTCATCATGCTGGCTTTCTGGAATGTACTTCACTGTGCTTGTTGTTGGAGGAGCTTGGGGCCTTCATGTCACTGTGGATGGCTGTGGTACTTTTCAGGACAGCCCTGCTCTTTGTTGTAAGTGTGACTTCTTGGCTCCAGTATAGAACCTTCAACCTACCAGCACAGCTCCTTTGCCCTGCTGGCATAGACTTCCTAGCTTCCACTGCTGACATTCAGGCCTTCCCAGTAGGGATCCATAAAAGAGATTGATGTGAGTCCTTCTTGTGAGCTCTAGACCTCCAGCTGGACTCATGGGAGGCATTGTCATGAGCTCTGGCTCTTCATCTGGACTCTTGTGGGACATTGCTGTGGGACTTAGGCCTTTGCATAAATGTTCTATGTCTTTGGTGTTGTGGATAGATTTTCTGCATTTTCTTGCGTTAATTATGGGTGACCATCATAAAAATAATATTGTAAACTCCATGTGCTGATTTTTATTTTTCTTTTCACAACCCCTGACTACAACACTGATTAGATAACTGAGTGCTAACATCACACAGCCAATATTCTCTACTGTTGTGCTTGAGCAAAGACTGAAATGGTCTTGAAGAAACAAAGTGATGAAGTGTGCAGACAGATCCATGTTGTTCAGAGAAAGAAAGAAGGGCCTTGCTTTTATGGACTCAGAGAGAGGAGTGATGAAGATTTGCTCCTTGAGAAAACTATTATCAGGATCTTCTGGTCTGTTCTCTCCACTAGATCTTCACTATGGGTGATTTTATTTCTTTGCATCATTTCTTCACTATGAATGATTTTGTCCAATTTTAGCTGGAATATTGCCATGTTGGGTTAATTACTGGCTGTGGCTTTCCACCCTTGATATAGCATTATTTTTCTTGCTTCTTAACATATTTTCACATGTTTTGTGAAAATCCTATTCTATCTTCAATATAGAGATTGGTTTGGTTAGAATTTCATGTGTTCCAATATGCTTGCTCTTAGTAATTTTTGATTCATAGATTCTAATTGTGCACCTTGGAATCTCATCTTCCCTGTTGCAAAATTTCATGGTAGTGGCCCTTACACTTTTATAGATGATCCTTGATTAAAATCTACCATATACCTTTAAACTCTTGGAACAGTGTCATGAAATTTTAAATCTTTGATTGTAATGAGGTTTAGACATGGTTATAAACCTTACACCTAGAAAAGTTATTTTATCATCTGCCTTCATCAGTGATTATTCACTTCTGTAGTTTTGCTAAATCATTCATATTTACTAAAGACAGATTATTTGGAGATTTGTCATATTTTGTCATTGGATGCTTACTTCTCTGACCATAAGTATAAAAAAATTAAGACTAAAATGAAATGATTTTGCATTTATCTGTTTCTCTGATCTAAAAACTTCATATGTTAGCTTAGTTATTTTTCATAATTTCCTATGCTTCAAATCATTTTTTATTCTTGGGAGTTTAAGAATCATTAAAATTCAGCAGTCTGGTTTTGTGGTTTAGAGTTTCTGTGAAGTAATCTTAAAAGTTCTATTAATACTGTAAGAGAACACATACATAGCTATGTGTTTGAATGAAAATACTTGTGTATTTCTTCCCTTTGAAATATTTTGCTTAGAAATCGCTCTTCATTTGATGTGCCAGTAGGAAGTGCTGTGTGCAACCAGCTGTGAATGATGCTTATTACTGGTATTCCCAGTATTCTATAGAAAAAATGCCAGGGATTTAGCTCAGTGGCATCAGCACTTGCCTGGCAAGTGTGAGGTTGTGAGTTCGATCCTCAGCACCACATAAAACAAACAAACAAAACAAAAAATCCCATGAAATTATAGGAAAAACTTGCACCTCAGAGGAAAGCATCCACAAGGCCTTTCATGCGTATAAGGTTTTTTTCATACCTTAGGAATTCACTTTGCACTTAGAAAGCCCTTCCCAAAAGAAATGTTTGTCTGGAATTTACTGGATATTGAACTGAGGACTTTTGCACTGATCTATGTTCCTCTCCCTTATCATTTATTATTTTGAATTTTGAAACAGGTATTCACAACTTGTTAAGTGCACTAGGTTGGGCTTGAACTTATGATCCTCTTGCCCTTAGCCTCTTAAATCACTTGGTTTATAGGCATGTACCTTCAGGCCCAAATGCCTTGTATATTCGTTACAACACTCAGTTTGCCTTTTTTTCAACAAATTGTACCATGAAAAATGAAATAGAAATTCCAGTGCTTCAGAACCATGTCATTATTGCATTTTGTTCTTTTGGCTTTTAATCTATTTTTCTCTTCGTTATTTTTATTTTACATTGATTTTTCTCATAAATTAATGATCAAGCTTGCAGGGCATGGTGTTACAAGCTTTAATCTCAGCACTGAAGAGTCTGATGCAGGAAAACTGCAGCAAATTTAAGGCTAGCCTTGGCTATATAGTGAGTTCAAGTCCATCCTGAACTACATAGAAAGTCCATCTCTCAAAAAAAGAATCACCAAAGTGTACTAAATTAAGCAGTATATTTGTTTATCTAATCATATCTTCTTAATTATTTCAAGTTCTACTTATAAAATGCTATTGTCCATACTATTCACCAAGATTAAAATTTTAAATGGTGTCATTGTTTTAATTCAGAATGCATGAATGAATGAATGTATGACTCACACGGTACATCCAAGTTTTTATTACGAATCCCTTTACATGCAGCACTACTTAAGTCTTGGTTTTATCTCATGAGTACTCTCACCAAATACTTTCTTTATCGTGTGGTGAAAAATGTTTCTCTATATTACTAAGTAATAAATCTCTTTTAGATGAGTAATCACTAACATGGTCTGATCATTCCCTTTCTGTAATACCCTTATGAAATTAAAATGGTCATAAAAACTCATGGAATAGTATAAAACATAAAAGAATAAATGAGGTAATTTCTATGCAAAGAAAACCTCAAATTGAAATCTGTATATTGTTAGAGTTGGAGTTGTAATTCAGTGGTAGAGCACGTGCTTAGCATGCACAAAGCTCTGGGTTTAATTCCTGGCAAACACTTCTGTAAAAGAAACTTATATGGCTTCATTCTTTTTAAACATTCTATTCATAAAACTAGATGCATAAATATGGGTTGGGGTTGAAACTCTTGATGAGAATAGGTGAAGTTCTGCAATTAACCTCCAGCACAAATACACATATATGTATACAGGTGATGTATATTTAGAAATTGTACTTCAATTATACATACATATTCATCTTCCATCAAAATGTAAATCCTCTACTATCCATTTGCCTTTCTGATTTGAAGTATATTTATAACATCCTGGACAGTGTGATTTTGTATTCTCTGGTTAAATGATTATAATAGTTTAGTCTAAAATCATACCCCATGTGATATATATCTAAATTGCATCCAATATTTCTTTTATGAATAATTTCTATAAGCATTGATTATGCATTTAATTTTCTGTACATAATTTCATATGACTTTGTCATGAAATGAATAGAAAATATGAAAATTTGCTTTCCTCTTTGTCTATATTTAAAAAAATTAGTTTATTCCTAATACTTATACACATTTATAGGATACTGTGTGACATTTTACCATGTGCACCATGATTTGGTTTCTATTCAATTTTTTAATCTTTTTTATCTTTTTGTCTTCCACTGATGCTGCCATTTTACCTTCACAAGAATTGAGAAATCCTTTCAAAACGGGGGGCGGGGATTATGGACCTTTTTCTTTTTTTTTGATTTTTTTTTTTTTTTTGATATCAGGGACTCAACTCATGAACCTACTCTTGCCAGGCCACTGAGCTTAATTTGTAGTGCTCCTGGACCTTTACTAATCTTAACTTTGTTTTTGGAATCATGAGTTAGCATTTAGAGCCACACAAGGTAGTTTAGAAACAAAAATCGTCTTTTAAATTTTGCAAAGAATCTTATTTCACATTGATGTCAATAAGACTGAGGAAAAATGCTCTTAAATTCATTAAATATCATTTCCTAATTCAGTAAAATTTTCTGGGTTTTATTTATATAAAATAATATTTGACAATGTAATAACTCGGACCCTCGAATAAAATCCGAGGAAGCAAGAGACTGAAATTTGGGGAGCAAAGGCTTTATTAGGCCAGGCCTGGTGACGAGTCTCCGGGAGCCAATTTGGAGACTGCAGCCAGAGACTGAAGGGAGGACTTTAAAAAGAGGCTGGAGGAAAATGGGAGGGGAAAACAATGAAACCTGCAGAGCCATCAAACTTGTTGACCCAAATCTGGAAACTGTATAGCTGTCCACTTAGTTCTGACAACCTCGGGAGCCTTTGGTGCCTTTTGAGTTACTCCCATTCTGCAGATAAGCATTATCTGCAATAACATTTGGAGAAGAAAGTACAAAGTTGATTATCTCAGGACAGCTCCTTAACACTAACAGGTGGGAAGGGGTCAAAAGTTAAGAGAAGCTGAAACTTAAGTTTTCACAAGGATTTGGAACTTAACCCTTTTGGTGCATTAGGGTTAAGCCACAACATTTTCCTGTAATTTCTTTGAAGCTAAGCAGTTCTTAAAAACAGAGCAGGCTCATTTTATGACAGACCACCACCAGGTCAGGAAGAGGGCACCAGAAACCCAAAATCTTTATGGCCTAGCCTAGATAGATAGGTAAGGGCGAGGGGGGCAATAAGGCATGATACAGAACAGAAAACGGCGGTTATGTTTTTCTTTCTTTCTAGGAAGGGGGATCAAGGTCAGGTAAAAGGTTATGCTAATAACCAAATCTTCCTGCACACAAGCAAGTTACTTCAAACAAGTGTAAATTAGAGGGCCATCCTAGTTTTCTTTAGCTTTTTAGCAGAGAATAGAGGCGCCTAACAGTGATTAATAACTCTTGTTAGCTTGTTTTAGCACCACTTCTGTTGTTTGTAGAGGGCAACTCTGGTTAACACATCCATTAGGTAAGGTTTTACAATTCTTTATTAGGTCATCCAAAGGGAAAAGGAAAACACATACATAAGCCATGGTATAGGTTTTGTTATGATACACATATAGTGAAGCTATTTTCTTAGAGTACAACAACAAATGTCTGAGTTTCTTTATAAGGAATATCATTCCATGTGCATAAAGAATCCTTTCTAATTGTGAGCTAAGGGGGCAGATTTCAAATGCCAGTGGTAGGAATTAATAGACACCGCTTAAGCACAGAGCATGTATCCTCTCATTTTCTCTTTCTTCTTTCTGTCAGGCAGCTATGCTGTTCTCTAAGGGAATTTTCTAAGCTGTCGCACAGTTTTGCTGTAGTGAGGGAACCCCTGTGGTCTTTTATCACTAAAAATTTTCCACACAATTCCTATAACTTGATTATAGTCTGTCTCCCAAAGTAGGATGAAGAGCTCTGGGGCAGACCCTGTGCCATTTTATTTCTCTGTGTACCCTGCACTCTGTTTGGGATACGTTAAGCACTTACATTCATTTGGAATGGATGGCATTTATTTTCTCAAGTGGTTAAAACTGTGATACCTTTGTTTAATTTTCAGTGCCAAAATCTTCAGATATTTTTAACAAAAATAAAATTGACCTACTTGTCATGGGAAAAATTTGTAAGAATTTCTGTTTGCAAGTCTCATTTCCCCATTTCCTATGACTTCACTACTGTATGGCAGGTAATTTGAATGAAAATCAGGGAATACTTCCTGCTGAATGTGCAGGAAACAGAATCAGTGTTTACCTTAGGCAGAGGTTTGGCGGGTTTGCAGTGGAGTCCTCCAATAAAATCAAAATTGGGTAAGGTTGGGTGAGGAAATTCTAGGTCCCAGTAGGTTCTAACGAGCCATACATCTGCTTTCCCCATTGTCTCAGTTAAAGTGGTGGGTCTTCCTGCAGAGGAAAAAGAACCTTGAAGCAACCCAAAGTGTGAATGTGAGATGACAGCCAGGTGACCATGGATATGCCAGGTCATTTTCTCAAAGACTTTTCAGCAGTGGAGCACAAGATATTTAAAAATGCCTGTAAATTTAATGATAGCACTTTACATTTATATCTATGTATATATGCCAACATACATGGAAAGTGTGTGCCAAATGTGTATGACTGTGTATGTTTAACATATTTACTATGTATATTTATGATTAGATGTATGAAATTCATTATTTGATATATTTGTGAGTTACATGTTTTCATAATGACAATCACAAGCAAATATACATAATCATAAACAAATATCAAAATAAGGTAGTATATATTTACATTTTCTCTAAATTTGCAGAAATAAATCAATATAAACAGACATTTTAATTCAATTATTATTCAGTCCTGTAATATTTATGAAAACGTTTTTATTCAAAAAACACTCCATTTTGCAGGACATAGAAGATGAAATATTAAAATTTATTTCTCTGTGAACCAGTAATTTTTAGCATTACTAACTTTTTCTTACTTATTTTTTATGGTTGGTTTATATTAAGAGTTTCATAATATTTAATCACTTATCTACGTGTATTTTCAAATAAGAACCAGAAAAGCTTTAGAATATAGAAAGAGTAATTGAATGTCATTAACATTTTCCTTAAAAGATAGAATTAATAATATGCAATAATAGATTTTAAAAACTGGATTAATATCACGCACTGTCATACTTCCACATTATAGATCTTTAAACAGATTGATGGTAACGATGGTGATGGAATGTGAAATAATTTAAAGATCACGCATATACTTGATTTCCAGGATAAAGTCTCTGTGATAAGTTCATCTAATATGGTTATAAAATGTTTGTAAATGAAGAAATTAATCTACCTCAGGGACACAGTTTCTTCAGTGCTATCTAAAGATACAAATGTGTGAACTTTCTCAGCTTACATAAGTCTATTCATTAACACATGTAGTGAAGTTTGCAATAACTGTTTTCAAATAGGTAATAAAACAGATGATAAAATGCTATAAATGTATAAAAATGTTGTACAAATACTCAGAGCAATGCATCATTATTGTATGAGTTCCTAAAATCTGTATGAGTGATGGTCAGGCCTTTCTAACAAAAATAATAATGTTAGATGGGTCAGAATATATTGAATTTAATAGACTATTTTTATACCTCTATTTCATTTTTCTCTATTTCAACATTCTATTTTGAAAGGTGAATTTCTTTATTATTATACTCTTTCCAACATATCATCAAAGGGAGAGAAGTGCTGGTGTTGGGAGCCGCAGCCCCGAGCCCGGTCGCCTCACTTGGCGGATGTGAGGCCTGTAGTAAAGAGTAAAGCCTGAGGTAGATTACCCCTCCCATCGAGCACGTTAGTTTCCTGCTTACCGCGTAAGCAACCCGCTCAACAATATAGTCTGCCTGGCAACTGATGATGTTAGCCAATCAGCTTGCCTTGCTTACTTTAACATGATTGGACACTGTATCCGTATATATACTGGTGCCACCCCTGGGGGGGAAGAAGAAGCCCGGAAGTAGAAGCCCAGAAGGAGTCGCGGGGAGCGGACCAAAGGAGGCTTCGGCTGGGAGCGATCCCAGGGCAGGCTGTACGGAGAAGGAAAATAAAAGAAAAGGTTGTCCACTGCCAGACTTTGTCGTGTGTCCTTCCTGCCGGCCAGGAGCGACATCGACATTTGGTGGCCCGTACGGGGACTGATCACCCCCGAGACGTGACAGCAGACAACGCTCCAGTACAGAGCTGCGAGACAGGTGAGTTGGGGATAAGCCTGGGCTCTGGGTGGCGCGCACCTACAGGGCTTTTAGACTCCCCTCAGGCTCACGCGTAAGTGGCGGATTCCTTGGGCCTCACGCGGTGAGTAACATATTAAAAAATGGGAAACATGCTAGGTAGTAACATTAAGAGCGAGGGTGGTTGTGGAGAAAGCTCTCAAGAGCTTACAAAAGTACACAGGGTATTTGAGCAGGCCCAGTCAGGGAGCTCCCGAGAGGGGCCCGTCAAGGGGAACAAAGATGCTAAGGAGAAGGACGGGGCTCTAGCCTCGGAGTCGTCTGACTCCGAGGACGAGGGAAAGTTGAATGGCAAGGAGGCCAAAGAGACCAGCTGTCAGGAGCCTAAGTCGCTCGATAAGGAGTCGCAGGGTTCTTTCCCAGCGTTGCGCCGTGAATTGTGCTCCGCTCAACTTGGTCTGCGGAGGAGTAGAGAGCTCCTGAGCGCTCCCCGGCGTGAGAGGGAGGCGAAGCCTTCCGCCCCACCTTGGGGGCTGTTCCCGGAGGCGATCCCTCGCCGCGAGGCGGCCGCCCGGGAGCTCCCTTCCCCTTCGCCAGAACAGGAAGTGATGCACGGGCCCCCATTTTCCGCCCAATCATGGCCGCCGTCTTATGCTCCGCCGCCGGCGGGTCGGTATTTTTACAGACGGCTTTGGCAGGGGGGACGTTTGTCTCATGAGGTACATCCACCACCTGGGATAGATAGTGGCCCCTACGGGATATTTCCTGTACAAGTAGCTATGGGCCAGGGACGTAATGCATGGGAGCCTTTTGAGATAAAGCAGATTAGAGAACTTAAAAATGCAGTTACAACCTTTGGGCCGACTGCGCCTTACACCATTGCCATGCTGGAGAACCTGTCTTCTGGGCCCCTCACCCCTGCGGACTGGATTCAGCTGGCAAAGGCGTGTCTGCCCTCGGGTAGTTACCTGGATTGGCGAGCCTGGTACGCAGAGTTCTCTGCAGAGCAGGCTGAGAGAAACGCCAATCGGGGAAACCGGGGGTGGAACAAGGAAATGCTTATGGGAGAAGGTCGGCACGCTGATGATCAGACTCAGTTCCCCGGCGCTGTCTATGAACAAATCAACGCCATAGGGCTCCGCGCCTGGAAGCAGGTAAGTGGTGCCGGAACAGCCTCCTTGTGTCTTTCAAAAATAATTCAGGGTACCACAGAGCCATTTGTTGACTTTGTGGCCCGAATGCAAGATGCTGCCGATAAGATATTTTCTGATCCGGGAGTGGCTCGACCGCTGGTAAGGCAGCTGATTTTTGAGCAATGTACAAAGGAGTTCAAGGCAGCGATAGCTCCTCATAAGAACAAGGACCTCAACGCCTGGATTAGGATATGTAGAGAGATAGGGGGGCCGCTCTCCAACTCGGGAGTGGCTGCTCTCCTGGCCGCGGCTGTACAGCAGAGGGGACCTCGCGGGTTAGAAGGGGAATGTAAGGCTAAAGGGTGTTTTGCCTGCGGGGAGCCAGGACACATTAAACGTCATTGCCCAAACAATGCAGATGCTAGGCCTCGCCCTAGGAATGAAGAACCATATGTTTGTGGGCGATGCAAGAGGGGATCACACAAAGCTGAGGAGTGTAGGTCGGTCTTTGATGCTCAGGGCAACCGTATTTGTGGACGAGATGTTAGAGGGCCAAAAAACGGCCAGAGGGGGCCCCCTTCACAGGCGGGCCCCCGCCCCAGAGACAGGACAGCTCAGGATGGCAGCCTTCAACAAGGGCCACCCCTGGGTCAGCAGGTGTGGACCTCAGTGTCGCCTCCAGACTTATATTAGTGCCTGATATGGGTGTTCAAGTGGTTGAAACCACCTTTAAGGGACCGTTACCCGAAAATTCCGTGGGTCTGGTGATCGGGAGATCCTCCACGGCCCTTCGGGGTCTCATAGTAGTCCCGGGGGTCATAGACTCAGACTACACAGGACACATTAAAATTATGGTTCAATCTCTTGTGGGTACTATGGTAATCAATAAAGGAGACAAGATAGCGCAGCTCTTGCTGCTCCCCAGTCTCCACAGGAGATTTCCCTCAAAGCAGAAAATTAGAGAAAGTCAAGGTTTCGGTTCCTCAGGGGAAGTCTTCGAGGGACTCCATATAATACTTGATAAAAGGCCCATGCTCTCACTTAAGGTCAATGGCAAGAATATAACAGGGCTCCTAGACACAGGAGCTGACCGTTCCATTATCTCTAGAAAGGATTGGCCCTCCAACTGGCCCACCAACACTGCAGATAACACGCTGCAGGGCCTGGGGATGGTGTCAGCTCCTCAGGTTAGTGCTTCAACCCTGTTCTGGTGCGATGAGGAGGGTCATCAGGGCCATTTCCAACCATTTGTGTTGCAGTTGCCAGTGTCTCTATGGGGAAGGGACATCCTCACTCAGATGGATGTCACGCTTACGTCAAACTGCTCCCCCCAGGCTAAGGATATACTCAGGAACCAGGGATATACCCCCGGCAAAGGCTTGGGCAATGCCCTACAGGGTCGGACATCCCCAATACCAGTAGAGAACAAAAAAGGTAGGCAAGGGCTGGGTTTTTCTTAGGGGCCGCTGAAGAAGCTCTCCTACCCACTTCGATCAAAATCACCTGGAGGTCAAATGATCCGGTTTGGGTACCTCAGTGGCCCCTGCCTAAGGAGAAGCTATTAGCCTTGTCAGAAATAGTCAGTACACAACTTAGATTAGGACACATTAAGCCGTCAACCTCCCCATGGAACACCCCCATTTTTATAATTAAGAAAAAGTCTGGCAAATGGAGGCTGCTCCATGATCTAAGGGCGGTCAACGCGCAGATGCAGTCCCTGGGGGCGGTCCAGAGGGGGCTGCCAGCTCTCTCAGCCATCCCTCAGTCCTGGCCAGTTTATGTTATAGATCTTAGAGACTGTTTCTTCTCAATCCCCCTGCATCCAGAGGACACTCATAGGTTCGCCTTTACTTTACCCACCATTAACCAAGAAAGCCCTGATCTCAGATACGAGTGGATAACGCTGCCCCAAGGTATGGCCAACAGTCCCACTATGTGTCAGATTTACCTTGATTCCCTACTGGCCCCCCTACGGAAATCCTTTCCCAAGATAAGATGTGTGCATTACATGGACGACCTTTTGCTCAGCGGCAGGGACCCAGACATGCTAAATAATATGCTCGGCCAGTTGGTCGAGGCCCTGAGACAAGCTAATCTGCATGTTGCCCCCGACAAGATTCAGGGAGGAGAAATGGTGACCTACTTAGGCGCAAAAATCTCCCCTATGCTAGTCTCTCCACAGAAGGTCACCATTAGGACGGATGGCGTTAGGACCCTAAATGACATGCAAAAGCTATTGGGAGACATTAATTGGATTAGGCCATATTTACATATACCAAATTCAGATCTCAAACCCCTGTTCGACCTTCTAAAGGGAGACCCAGATATAGCCTCCCACAGGAGGCTCACTCCTGAGGCAAGAGCTGCCTTACAGAGAGTGGAAAAAGCCTTAGGTGGGGCTACCTTACACAGAATTGAACCAGGGCGACCCTTTGATGTCTGTTTGCTACAGACTAGTCTACAGCCCACAGCGGTGATTTGGCAGAAAGGACCATTACTGTGGATACACCCTAAGGTCTCACCTGCAAAAGTCATAGAGCATTACCCGGAGGCAGTCGCTTCATTGGCCCTTGAAGCGCATGATAGAGCTGTCCAACATTTTGGCTCAGGACCACAAGCCATCCGAGTACCCTATACCGCCAGCCAGATCAAGACCCTGGCTGCCTGCATAGATACATGGGCCATTCTGAGATGTGTTTTCCATGGGGATATAAACAACCAATACCCTAAAGACCCTATCTTGTCATTTGTCACTCAGCACCCTATAATTTTTCCAAAGGTTACTGCCTCTGAGCCATTAGTCCCAGCAACTACAATATACACAGATGGCTCCAAGACGGGGATAGGCGCCTATGTGATCCTAGGCAAGCCCCCGGTTACCATACAATTTGAACCTGATCAGCCTCAGGTGGTAGAACTGCAGATCATTAAAATGATTCTTAAACGGTTCTCAAAAGCCATTAATATTGTCTCCGATTCTAGGTATGTGGTCAATGCTATGCAAGTGCTTGAGACTGCCGGTTTAATTAGATCCACTTCCACAGTGGCTGGGCTGTTCCTGTCTATCCAGACATTGCTTCAGAACAGACACCATAAGGTCTTCACCACCCACATAAGAGCACATACATCCCTGCCAGGGCCCATGGCACAGGGGAATGCGGCTGCTGATACTGCCACTCGCCCGTTATGGATTTTTACCTTACTAACACCAATTGAGCGAGCCCGTGCCTTCCATGATAAGTTTCATGTCAATGCCAGGACACTAGCAAACCATTTCCATGTTTCCAGAGCAGATGCACGAGATATCGTGCGACTATGTGACTCCTGTGCCACATACAAACCTGCCATACCGATGGGAGTAAACCCTCGAGGTTTGATCCCTGGTGATGTTTGGCAGATGGACATCACACATATACAGGAGTTTGGGACTCTTAAATATGTTCATGTTTCCACAGACACCTGTTCTCACGTCATATTCGCAACAGCAAAAACAGGTAAAAAAGTGTCTAATGTGATCAATCATTGCCTGGCGGCTTGGGCCGCATGGGGCAAACCAAAAATATTAAAAACTGATAATGGACCAGCCTATATAGGCAAAGCCTTCAATGAGTTCTGCAAAATGATGGAGGTTCAATTAAAACATGGTATCCCATACAATCCCCAAGGTCAAGGAATCATTGAGAGGGCTCATAGAAGCCTCAAAGAAATTTTACAAAAACAAAAAGGGGGAGTAGGCCAAGGCCTGGCCCCAAAGGCACGATTATCCATGGTACTATTCACACACAATTTTTTAAATTTAAATAATGATAATTGCTCCCCAGCCGTGGAGCACTGCAACCCTTCCCCCAACCATAAAGGGTGGGTGAAGTGGAAAGATGTCCTGACAGGACAATGGATGGGCCCGGATCCAGTGGTCAGCTGGAACCGAGGCGCGGTTTGTGTTTTCCCACAGGAATCGGGACGAGAACCACTGTGGGTACCGGAGAGACTGACACGGGCGACAAAGCCCTCGACTGAAGATCAGACCTGCCCTACCGGAGATCCATCACAGACCAACCAACAAGATGAATAGAAATAGCGGTAGCCCGAAATGGACAAGAAGATCCTCAGGCATATGCATGGCTCGCTCGCCTAGCCTACGACCGAGTCTAGGGGTGGTGAGCTTCCCACACTCCTCCTCTAAAAAATTATGACATAGCTGGGTAGGAGAGTCAATGACGGGTAAGAGCGTACTCCCCCGGTGCGACTCAACCTAAGCCAGGCCCTACCCCATCCTGCACGTAAGCCGCTGGACTGTTAGATGCTGCCCAGGTCTAAATTTCTCTCCGAGGGGATTTCTTTATGGAGAGGAAATGAGTGCAAGCTTGTGTGCATCCAGGTTCTGTCCAGTTTGTGCCTGGCCCTAGAAAAAGGATGAGGGCCTCAGGGCCTTGGCAGACCATGGGACGGCCGACCAGGGTCTAAGCCAAGGACCTACGGTGGGCCTACGCATAGGGCATAAGCCTCTGCACCCAGTCCAGGAAGGGCTACGATGCGCACATTCATAAAAAATAAAAAAGGGGGAGATGTTGGGAGCCGCAGCCCCGAGCCCGGTCGCCTCACTTGGCGGACGTGAGGCCTGTAGTAAAGAGTAAAGCCTGAGGTAGATTACCCCTCCCATCGAGCACGTTAGTTTCCTGCTTACCGCGTAAGCAACCCGCTCAACAATATAGTCTGCCTGGCAACTGATGATGTTAGCCAATCAGCTTGCCTTGCTTACTTTAACATGATTGGACACTGTATCCGTATATATACTGGTGCCACCCCTGGGGGGGAAGAAGAAGCCCGGAAGTAGAAGCCCAGAAGGAGCCGCGGGGAGCGGACCAAAGGAGGCTTCGGCTGGGAGCGATCCCAGGGCAGGCTGTACGGAGAAGGAAAATAAAAGAAAAGGTTGTCCACTGCCAGACTTTGTCGTGTGTCCTTCCTGCCGGCCAGGAGCGACATCGACATGCTGGCATTCAAAATACTAGCTGAAATCAGCACTTACCTAATACTTCACTGTAAAATTGATTCCATTTCTTCTCGTTAAACATTTGAAACCAAAAGTCAAAATAAAGCACATATATCATATTTTTTACTCTTTCCATGAATGTCATTTGATCACTTAATTCTGAAAAAACAACAGGCACATAGGAAGGAGGATATGAGAGTCCACCACTGTACTTTTCATATGTGTTGCCAGGAAAGAAACAATGGGTGTACACCAAGGGTATATTCAGAAGCTCAGCAATCAGATCACCACCAGGAAATATCGCATCAGCCAGGATGACATCAAACCTTGATTTTCGTAGTTTTGACATGAGTTCTTTGTTTCGCACTACATCTTCACAGATGATTTTCAGTAAATCAGTCTCTTCCCATACAAGCTTTTGCATTGTTGAAAAATATGTCCAAATTGATTCTTTTGGTAGCTCATAAATCATTTTCATGAGTCCTTCTGTGAAAACATACTCCCAGCCACTTGCAGAGAGTGATACAGGATAATCCTCAAATTTAATAGCAGATTCCTTTTCCACATAAAAAGTAATGGATGTTGAAGGTCTCAAAACTGTCACCTCATGACCCTTTTGGACAAGTGCATCTAGTATTGTCTTTATATTGATCCAATGACTGAATTCCATGGGCCACACCAGCACCTTTCCACAGCTTCCATAACCAAAGTAACTATTCAGCTGAAGCAGCAACAGAAAGGCAGTCAGTTTCATAGACATCTTGGTGAAAATAGCCTTTCCTTTCAAACTATGTTCTCACTGCTCTTTATGCTCAAGTAGAATCATTACATTGTTAAAGTATAACTTGTGTTTGCAAAGTAAACATATTAAAATCAGTTAGTATCTGGATCCCAGTGCAAAGAGCAAACTTGGGAACACTTCTTGATTAAGTGAAGGTGTGAATTGATTGTTTTCTGAATAGAAGTACTTTTCTACAGTTGGAGCTTGATTATGTTACCTCTTTAGTGAACCTGTGATGTGATCGAATTTTTGAAGTAGTGTCAGGAACAGTGGCAAGTTAAAAAGGAAAGAAATAACAAGGAAGGGGCATGTTACTTTTCTACATAGCTATTTGAGAACTAGAAACACAGTGATAGGTAGGTGACTCACCCTTTCTTTGCCTAGGATTATTCTACAGACATTTTCATACAAACATTGTTGATACATCAATAATAAATTTTAAAGTATGAATATTACAGACTTACTTCAGTAATTCATAATATATCAGCAGAATTGTAAAATCTTCAGGGTAATCAACTGTAGATCAAGTAAAACTCTCAGAAATGAACTTTACACATTTGGCTATTCCACATGCCTCAGACCTATGCAATTACTAAATTGTCTCCTCTCCTCCTCTGCACACCCAGTATGGGCAGCAAGAGTTAGAAGATCTGCCTCTCCAAGTGCAGGCAGACAGGGCCAAAAAAGATCCACATCTGCCTGCCGGACACTGCCACTGGAAGGCTTTTCCCTTTATGTGCCCAGCATGGGCAGAGAGAGCCAAAAGACCTGGCTCTACCTGCTGGATGCTGCTAATGGAAGGTCCTTTTTTCCACATCCCCAGCATAGGTTGAGGGAGACAGAAAAATCCATCTCTGCCTGCTGTGAACTGCTGTCCAAAGGCCCCATCCTGTAAGAGGCCAGCATGGGCAGAGAGAAACAGCAGACCTGCCTTCACCTTCAGGGAACTGCCAGTGAAGCTTCCTTCCTTCCTGCTTGTAGCCAGCTGGGTCCCATACACACAGCCAAGTAAGCCCTGTGCATCCATAGACCACTACTGGAGGCTGTTGGTTCTCTGAGGCAGCCATCACTAACTAGCAGAACCAGACAAACACAGCCCTGTTTGTCTGCCACCATTGTGGGAGTTCCAGTGTAGACACTAAGGCTGAGAGAAGCAGCCCTGCTTCTATATAACCCTGATCATCAGTGAAGCCTCAGTGTAGGAGCATAGGTCTGGAGAAACTCAGTCCATGTCTATAACCTCCCTGTAAATCTGGAATTAGAGGGTCCCAGGTACCTGTCTCATGCCCCTACACTGAGTAGGGGCATTCAATGTGAGAATGCCTGAAGCCCCACTACCAGCTTGTTGAAAGGAACACAGAAGAATGTCAAGATGAAGGAGCAAAAAGGAAAACTCACACCTCTAGCCCCCACACAGTAAGTCTTGGGAGAGATAGTCATGGAAGAAAACCCTAAGACACACACCTGAAATTTCCAAGAGGATAGCAACAGAAAAAACTTCATAATATTGTAAAAGCAGTCAAATCAGAAATAATCTCTCAGGTAAAAGAAAAAGTCACAAACATTATGAAAGAATTGTTCAGCGTGTCTAAAGAAGACAAACCCCAAAAGGAGGAGCATAGGAAACTGATGGAAACCTTGAACGAGTGTAGAAAGGAATTACAATGCATGAAATATATTCAAAGAGAGACATAGGAAATTAAAAATTCAATCAAAAGCTGGGAAAACCACTTGAAAGAGACTGAAGATAGACTTTGAAACCTTGATATGAATTTGCAGTTAGTGATTAAGAAAGGAAAGATCACTTAAAAATAATACAGAAGGGCCAGGGGTTTAGCTCAACATCATCAGTGCCTGCTAGAAATGGGAGGTCATGCATTCAATCCCTGGTACAAAAAAAAAACAAACAAAAAGCCCCCCAAAACCCAAAAAACCCTAAGGAATCAGGAAATCACAACTCAATGACTGCAAGATGATGTAAAGAAGCATAATTGAATAGTGATAGGTATCAGTGAAGAAGAAGGGTTCAACAACACATGAAATTAGAAAGGATATTCACAGAAGTAATAGAAGAAAACTTCTCAAACAAGGGAAATGGATCTGGCATGCAAGTAAATGAGGCATATAGGACTTCGACTAGCCATACCCAAAGTAAATCTATACCCACACATATATTTGGGATCCTAGATATTCAGCACAAGAACAGAATGTTAAAAGCTATTAAAGAAAAGAAACAGATAACCTACAAAGGAAAACCAGACAGAATCATAGCAGACTTATTAATGCAAACCATCAGGTCAAGAAGAGTTTGTGGTGAAGTGTTTCAAACCAAGAAAGAAAGCAACTTCCAAGCCAGATTGATTTACTCAGCAAAGATATCTTTTAAAATTGATGGAGAAATAAGATACTTCCATAGTAAGAACAACTGAAGGAATTCATGACTACCAAATCAACCATACAGAAAGTGCTAAAGAATATTCTAGAGAGATATAAAGATGACCATGTTTCCAGGAATAGCAGCAGAGGAGGATCACCAAACAAACAAGACAGGTAACTGAATGCAGGGGAAAAGTGGAGGGCCAACAACAGGAAGATAGCAGGCAGAGACAAACCAATGTATGCTGGTTGTAACCATTAATGTAGATGGCCTCAGGTCAGCAATAAAAAGAAACACAGAGAAAGTGGATCAAGAAACCGATCCAGTGATATATTGTATTCAATCCTGTTGTGTTTTATTTGATTTTGTTATGTGTGATGGTGTAAATAAACCTTTTGAGGAAAATGAGATATTATAATAGCCATTGTTCATTTCCTGTTATTTGGTTTTGAAGTCTTGTAATGCTTTCATTATTTGGAATGATTTTATACTATTTTATTATGTTTGATATTATTGTGTGTGAAGGTATGCTCAGCTATATCAAAGAAAAAAGACATTATGGTTGCTACTATTGATGTCCATTTGGTTGCGAAGTGCTGTGTTGCTTGCATTGTTCTGTTTTAATTTTGTTATTCTGTTCCCTTTTATTTTATTCTCTTTAAAATGAAAAAAAAACTCAAGTGAAAAAAAAAGAGTCCCACAGTAATTGGACTTCAAATTCTATTATTAACTACATTTTGTTTAAGGGTCTTTACAGTTGTATTTTAAAAGGTGTATGAACAAAATTCTCATGTCATTAGAATCTTTTTCAATTCAAATTGGGAAGCAAGCACAAGGGCTATGTGCTCCCCTTTCACAGCAGCTTCTTTCCTTAAATCCCATAAATTTCTGGATAGAGCCCTGCAACATGTTCTTTCTAATCACTTATGCTACTCTCCCACCTTGGTCACAGGAGCCATGCCTTGTAGCACTTTTATTTCGTCAGTGTCTCAATCAGAAACTATCAACAGTGAGCTCTATAGTGGATACAAAACTGAATGAACTAGGTTCAAAATTTAGAATGTCTTGGAAAAATGATTTTTCCTGCACTATGTGTCTTTTTAAGGATATTTACAACTTGTTGCAATTATCAATATCTATAGTGCCTGTTTGAGGAAACCCTGGATTATGTTCAGTTACTTCTTTTAATATTTTTGCTAGGTCTTTCTTTGGAACATAACCCCCTGAGCATTTAAGCAGGCCTTGAAGCAGCCATAAATATCATTGCTCTGCAGCTAAAAGATTTTTCCCCATTTTCTTTTTGTTTCTATTAATTGAATTCAGGACCCTGTGTCTGGCAAGCAGGCACTTGTGCCACTGAACTATATCCCCAGCACTATTTTTACTACCAGACAAAATGGCATGTTCACAGCAGGAAGATTTGACCTTGTTCTTCTCTCTTTTCTCCCAGCACCACAAGTGAGGGTTTTCATCCTGTAAAGATCTCCTTCATATCCAGACTTTCCTCTCTACACAGACTTACTCATTCAGTCTAAAATTCTTGTTGCAAGGATTTCAGGTCCTATTCCAGACAACAGTTAGAGCCACAGTCTCCCAAATGAATGCCTGTATAGTGAACACTTAAAATGAATGAGATAAATGATATAATTTTTAGGACTCCAGGAGGATCAAAACCCTCCACAGAATTCTGGAGCTCTAGTGGATAAGATAGGGAATGCCTCTAGGTAACCTATATTTAATTATTTTTTCAAACAATGCAAAACACCGAATAGACCTTGGGAGTAGTTCATGAACTTTGCATGTAAAATGTTATATTAACAAGGAAAAGTATCTTAGGAGATGGTCTTCATGCTGCATTTCACTACAGAGGTGAAATGCCTGTACTTTCTGTCTTCCGTTAGTTGACTGGAGTTGGAGCCAGATGTCCACAGCTGTTATCTTTTCTTTCCTAGCCATGCAGCAGCCTTAAACCTGTGTTCAATTTCCAGTGTCAGTGGCTCCAAACTGCCCAGGATTTTTCAATTAACCCCACACAAGAAAGGATGCTGTAATGTTCCTCCCAGAACTTTTAAGGGTTAAAGTTACTTGGGATTGGACCTTCTCCCAAACCGGGAAACTCTGCTGGCAACTTGGGTAAGTCTGCGTGTCAACCTGAGCCCCAGGGAGAATTTAAGATTATCTCTTTTGGAGCTCAAGAACCCTCCCAGGGCCCAGCCACACTGGGTTGTGCTTGGCAGGTTTCAGGCTTCCCCAGGACATGCCCAAAGCCTTCTCCCAAACTTGGAAACTCAGATGGCAACTAAAGTGAGTCCATGTGCCACCCTGAGCCCCAGGAGACATTAAGATCATCTCTTCCAGAGCACAGGGACCCATCCAGAGCCTAGGCACTCTAGACTAGCCTTGGGAGGTTTTGTGGACCAACTATATTATGCCCAGTGACCTTCTTGAATTATGGGATTTGAGAGTAGGTGAAGTGAGTTCTAGAGCATTGGTCTTTGCCTGGGAAGAGCTTTAACCCATCATCCAAAGTGGTTAGCTTCCTGCCCAGCTAACTGGAACACTAAAGGTGGCATGGGAGGGCCTGAGGGCCTAACTGGACCAG